CATCGACGGACCGGCGATACGGAACTGTATGGCTTGTCGACGACGGATGCAAGAACGAGTGTAACCACGCGTAACATGGATTAGATAGACTGTATAATGATTATTGGGACCGCCTTTCAATTGTGCATGGTGACTTCAGCTCTCGTGTGCTTCCTTTTGTGAACTTTGTTGTGACAACCATCATGGATTCTACCCTCACTCCCCTTTCCATAGTGAGCAGTCATGTACTTCCATCTGATTTTATTTGTCCCATCTGTCATAATAATGACGTTCGTCTATGGATGAAAAAAATCTGCAATCATATTTTGTAAAATTTGCATTGAAAAATGGATGGAAAAACAAGCTGAATGGGACAAAGCGCAAACATGTCCCATGTTTCGTTTTGTCTTGGTGCTCAAACAACCATCCTCAAGCGATGAAGAAGATCATACAACAGAGACAATGGAAGAAGAAAATGAAGATGAGTATGAAGAACATGTTCTATTAGTCATTCAAAAATTTTTTAATCGCCCTTTCCTCCGCACCGTAGCACGATCGATCAACGCAGCGCTGAGACTCGATTCCCCCTGCTACACAGAACTTTTCGACTTGCAGCGGCGAACCAGTCTAGATTTTAGCGTTCGTTTTATTGATACATGTGATTTGGAAGATATCTGTGGACAAGACGTATTTTTGGTGGGGATCGACGTCCCTCCTCCACCTGACATGGAGAACATGTGATGTCATGTCCTGAGAATGTGGTGGGGGGAAAAGATTACAAACGTGATTCAGAGTAGGGTGAGAGGACACAATATAAGAGGAGCGTGACAAGAGCGGATGTATCAGTACTACGATCCAGCCTGAACGAGACATGTGCGACAATGACTATTACGCGGAAGAGCAGGAGGAGGATGAAGAGGTGTGCGACAATGCAGAGGAAGAACACGTCTGTGGAGACGGTGCCGTTTGTGAAAACATGCAACAACGACGAAACGATGCTCCTATCAGAGCGTATGTGGACGCACGCTTCCGCCAAGTATTTCAAGCGAACGAGGATGGGCGCGCCGATCTACAAACGATGATTGCCAATCAGACAAGGTGTCTACGCTTTTGGGAACACGCTGGGCCCTTCAACGCTGATCTGTTTCGAATTACAAATGTCGGCCAACCTGAAGAGCCACGTGACGCTACAACCAAAACGTATGTCGATCGCCATGTGAATGACATTCACAAACATCTCGAAAAAAATCCAAAATTACGAACTAGCAAACAGGGCAACCTCAACGTGCAAAAGGCACGCATCGTCAACCTAGCCATGCCCATACACAAAGACGATGCGGCCTTAAAACGCTACGTCGACGACGCGATGCAGTATCAGCGGGATTTCATCAACCGCAACACCCTTCGTCGCACCGGGGAAAACGGTGAAGACTACCATTTTCAAGGTAAACGCCTCACCAACGTCGCCGACCCCGTCGCAGAAGACGATGCTGTCAATCTCAAGGTACTACGGCGCCTTCTCAACATATCGTCCGTGTGAATGAGATTGTCAACAACCCTCGTGTATTTTCAATGTAAAAACCTCAAACAATGTATATGTTTGTGATCAATAAATACTTGTTCTAGCCTACTCTCTCTGTTGTTGGTCTTGTCATTTTTCCCCTTTTGTCACCACCGTGCAGGGAAAAAAATTCTCTTCCCGCTCCCGTTTTTTGCATCCCTTAGTTTTCGTTTGCAGAGGTTGGTACACAAGGTAGGCAGTCAGTCAGTCAGGCTGGAGACGTGACGTCACGGCCTCCCCAGCAGCTGGCGGCGCGGCGGCGGCAACCTTCGCACTTCCGCGGCCTTGCGGACGCACCGGCTCTTGTCGCCGGATGTTGTCAACGGATGTGGACGCCGGATGTTGACCTCGCATGTACACACCAGATGTTTTAATTGACACCGGATGTTTTTGTTTACATCCGGCAACCAGAGCCGGTTGATAATGCACGGCCGATTCTGCATCACCGGATGTTGTGATGAAGAATCGGCCGTTTTCATCTACCTACACACAAGGGCACACCTGTTAATTCGGATCCTACATCAATATCACTCTATCGACCCTTCACTCTATCGTGTTCTTTTCGCAATGTATCGAAATTCGATAGCATTTCGTCATTGTATCTCGTCAGGATGTTCACGACATTAGCATAATCGTTTTTGACTAGTTCTTTATGCACGTGAAAAAGATCCGTGTGTTTTTTCGCTTTCGCCAACGTGCCGTCCAATTGCGCCTTAATCACCACGTCCGAGCTGTTCGTGCCAGGGCCTACTTTGCGAATAGGTTTGTCGTGAAAATTGAAATTACCAGGCGAACCGACTGGCGGTAACGTGTCCAAGGGCCTGGGAGGAATTTTACTTTCGTGCGCGGCCACGAGCGCGCTGCATTCGTTCTTCGCGAACGCCTTTAATTTGGTTTCCTGTTCTCCGAAGCGCGTAGAGAGCTTTCTCTCGAGAGCATCGAGTTCGCTTTTTTGTTTTTTCACGGTTTCTGCAGACGTACTTTCGTGCGCGGCCACGAGCGCCCTGCATTCGTTCTTCGCGAACGCCTTTAATTTGGTTTTCTGTTCTCCGAAACTCGCGTGCAGTCCACGGCCAGCGACCGGATGTTGCGGCTGATATCGCTCGCAAGCTTCGCTGTCGCGCGCAAGAGCGAGAGCGCAGATGCTACCACCTTTCGCCGGCAGAGCGCGTGCGTTGTCCTAAAAGGAGCAAGTGAATCTCTCTTGCATCTCACGCACGCTTAACTCTCGCGCCCAAGGCTTGTTGCGGTTGATACAGCGCGCTGCTGCGCACTCCAATTACAGACCGGATGTTGCGGTTGATATCCCTCGCACTATAATTTTTGCTCTTCGGAAGAAACGCACTCAGTTCAGAAACAGCACTTTGCAGGAGTAAGATTAACCATGCAGTGTGACAGTATCAAGTATTTTATGCGTTTCGCCGGCATTAACGAAGCGCGGTTTTTTCCGAGTGTTATATTCCAACGCAGCATAATACACTATGCTGCAGCACATAACGATGTAGAAAGAATTATATTTTGTCTTAATCGCGGAAAACACGTCGACCTTCGGGACAATTATGGAAGAACACCACTACACTACGCTTACCGCTCACGGTCAAGGGTAGCAATAAACCTCCTACAGTTCATCGGAGCCAATCGCGAAGCAGTGGACGTGCTGGGAAATACCCCTTAAGATCTTCTCTACTGGCCACACATTTACTGTAATTGTCTGGAAGGGTGCAATTCGTGCATCGTAGCGCCGCGGACGTGTCATTGCACATTTATTCCCGGATGGTGAGACGAAGATTCCTGACGCCAATAGAAGCGACAGTTGAAGACGGATTGGTGCGCCATGCGACGGCACCACCTCTTGTCACAGTGCCGCCGCCGCCGTCAACACCACCAGTCGCCGAGGATGGCAACAACAACAACAACAACGGGGCGCAGAGGCGTTCCGTTGTGACCGTGCGACTGCCGCCGCCGCCACCGCCGCCCGCATCACCACTTGTCGAGGGCGGTAACAATGGGCCGCAGCATAGGCCCACGCAGCGCCGCTGGCGATTAAGCGGACCGCTCGTGCCTCTGCGGCGGCCGCACTCCTTGCCACCGCTGTCGCCGCCCCACGCGTCAACATCTCCATCTGCCGCCGGATCACCACCGCCAACGCAGTAAAAGTAAGTTTAAACAGTAAACGCAGTTTACATACGCAGTAAACAAAGTTTAAACAGTTTCACGCAGTAAAAAAATTATTTCTTGACTGTATTTTGATTCTTTTCTGCGTCTCATTGTTGCAGTTGCTTTTAATCATGTCAATCGCGCAGTGCCGCGGAGCTTGCACATCGGAGGACAATTACAGTAAATGTGTTGCCAGAAAAGGTCTTCAGACCTGTTCTCGAGCGCGTCCACTGCTTGATGATCGGCTTCGATGAATTCTAGGAAATTGAACGCTACACTTACCCGTGAGCGATACCCGTAATGTAGAACTGTTCTTCCGTGATTGACCTGACGGTCGACGTGTGCGTTCCGGGTCAGACAAAATATTAACCTTCGACATTGTTAAAAGCCGCAGCATTGTGTATTATGTTGCGTCCATAAATATCACTCGGAAATCGTGTTAATGTTCTCATTTTTAAATAAAGAAAAAACTATTAAAATGCACTGTTTTTTATTTGCTTTCCTGTCACAACCTTGTAGATTTGTTTCCCTTTTTATCAATAATTTTCATGTAATTTAGTATTTGAATCTTATTTTATTTAATTTAATAAAGGTTTGGTAATTGACAATATTAATTTAATAATACCAAATAATAATTTAATTCATCTCTTTAAGATTGTATTTTTATTTGAGGATTTGAAGTAGGAAATAAAGAAGAAAGGTTCAGTTTTAATATAATATTATTGATTTATTCGCTAATGATTACAGTCGTTAATAATGATAGAACACCTTTACATCTCGCAGCGAAGGTTTATAGGGCAAGTGAAGTGGAAGAGTTGTGTAATGTGACACATTTAGAAATTTGCCGTGTACTTTGCCTTCGCAGCATGAGCTGTACTCTTTAGCCCGATGTAGTTCGACAAATTCAGGCATCAACTTCACTGTCTAGTCGCGTGGTGCCCAAAGAGCACTCCTTTGGACACCACACGACTAGAGAGACATCATCCACGCTTTGAAGAAGAAAGTACACAACGTGCGATCTCTGCGTTTGAAGGACTACAACGAGCTGAAGAATTCGCCCATGCTGCGTAGAGGAAGAGAGGGCAATTTTACTAAATGTGTCACATACCAATCTCTTCCACTTCACTTGGCCTATAAAACCTTCGCTGCGAGATGTTCAGGCGTTTTCTATAACACAACTTATGTGTAATGTTAAAACAAAGATTATATTCATTTTATGGACTAATCATTACATTTTACGAGTTAATTATTTTGTATTGTATGTAATATCCTTTTATGTTTGCCCATGTTTTTTTGTTTATACAAGTCCAATATTTTGTATATTAACACAACGTTCGCATTGTTTGTTTCGTTCACAACCAAGTACGATAGATGCGGTCTTTCTTTTAGGAATCCTTCTCTTCCGAATAGTTGAATTTTGGATGTAAATCTGAAAAAGAAAAAAGGTAAGTACACATTTTTTATAATTAATTTTTTAATTTTAAGAGAAGTCATTTTACGCACCTCGTTGGTAGGAAGACGCCAAAAGTGTTGTAATTCATTTTATGCATCTCGTTGGTAGGAAGACGCCAAATGTGTTGTGTAGCGTGGCTACATACGATTTTCTTTCGTATTTCCCTGTGTCAATTAATGTTAAATCCGTTATTTCAAAGAAAACTCCTTTCGGCAAACTTTCGAATTTTAGCCAGTTGTTTTGAGACTCGGCTTATCTTTCAATTTCGGTCCATCTTCAATAAAAAGTTATTAATTATAATATAAAAATTAAAAAATATTAATGTTTATGTCATTTTTTCTTTGATGATTTATATACTTACTCTTGTGTCTTTAATTTTTTTAACCAACACAATGCAATTTGGGTTTGCCGGGACAAGACTAATAGCTTGCGCATCCACGTTGTTAAAATACCGTTGTCGTGTTTCGTCTACGGTTTAGGGTGGATTAAACGGTAAAACCATATCACTCATTTTTTCATTTGCATTAATTGACACGAGTGCACATGAGTGACATCCATCCTTGTTCGATACGTCCTGTTTCGCTCCCGATAACGCATTTGGCGTGACACCTCGCAATAAAAGGTATTAGGGCTGTTTAAGGACGAATGCGGAAGTGATCCTCTGCTCGGCTACGTAGGTTTACGTCCAAAAATGTACTCCATCGAAACCCGATCTAGGGGCGTGTTCTTCTCGGGTGAAGGGAGTACAATGTTCGGTCGTCAAACGTTATAAATTGCAAAATTATTTCGACTGTTTATTTCGAAACTAAAATAGAATCGACAATGTGCTATTCGGCCCAAATCCCGTGTCAATTATTCGTTTGTTCAAAACAAGCGTTCGTTGTCCGTGTCCGACGTGAACGCTATTGGATCGATAAATTTACAAGTCTGACATGGGGTCATTTCCGCATCCTGTGTACGCGTCCGTCCGTTTCTTCTTCTTCTCCTTCTTCAGAGTGCACGCTCGTCCCTCCAGGCGGGGTTCATGTAGATTAGAATTCATTTTAAACTTTTTATTTATTGTATGGATAGACACTTTTAGTAGTAGTAGGGAGTTTTATGATGAGTCACTTTCAAATAGTAGTAGGGGGAGAGCGTTTGCAATCACGTTGAAGTCGGGAGGGTGAGGTCTCAACACGACATTCGTCCATCGCCTGTCACCATGGAACGATCTCGCTTAGACGAAGAAGCGTATGATACGTGGAAGAAGCGGATGATGGTGAACTGGGTCCGCCTCCGCGACGCCGCCGCCGATCTCTCAATCATCGCCCACAATAGCAGTCTTCAGCGCCCCTACTACGCTGAAGCCTATCGCACGATCGCCGACGTCGCCGTTGATGTGGCGTGTGCTGCCCGACGCTGTCGCGAGGAAGAAAAAGAACCATCAGATGACGGAAACGAAGAAGATAAGGAAAAAACTCTTCACGATCTCGTAATTGCTTGTCGCGAGAAACTGCTATGGATCATGATGGTTCTCGGCGAAGTGACCTCCTGTCTGTGCTGTGAGTGCCAAGCTGACGGTTTATTCGTTCGCTATTGCGCCATCCAGAAAGCTTTGAACGCTCCCTGCGTTTCTTTCAGCATGGGGGACCCACCTCCCTTTATCATAGACAATGATAAGCAATGACCATCACCCCACATCTCATACGAGGCGGAAGGAGTCGGTAAAAGGAGACCTCCTGAACCGGAAGACTTTATTCTCATGGTGCACGCTGAAGTGTTCATAGTCCTCGAAGCTCTCGGTCACCTCCTTCAAGATCCGTACGGTGAAGCACTGCGACAGCGCATCTCTCGCGTTCGTCAAACCATTCAGTCTCTTCGTCCGCCGTTCGAAAATACGCTTCCAGCGTACTCTCCAGCCCGTAGTGATAGTGACAGTGACTAAGTTTTGTTTCATCTCCAGCTGACGCATGGCCCATCTACGTCAGCTCAATCTCAAGTTGGAACTTGTCTTACAACGTTTCATCAACGACGGTTGTTCTCTTCTCGGACTCGACGATCGCTCTCTGCAGCTTCTTCCAATCGATTTGCTATTACATTGGGCCGCGAAAGACGTCCCTTTATTCTTCCATCGCCTGTCGAAAGACGTTCAGCGGGACCGAGGCATTAGTCGACTCCTGCCTTGTCTTCGCCATTACAACAACAGCGGGCGCGCGCACGTCGACAACAAACAACCGTTGCAAAAGTGGAAGTATTTGCGGTGTCGACGAGGAGAAGTGCTGCCTTGTTTCGAACACGCGCACATCGAGCCGCCGCCGAAGTGGAAGTGCATCGAGTGTAGAAGAGAGGACTTTTAACCAAAAAAAACAACAAAAAAACACCTTCACGCTATTCGTGATGGTCGCGGGTACGCGCATCGAGAAATATTTTAAGATGTTCCCTCGTACGGGTTCCACACCCTTCCACTTGGCCGTCCAAACCGGCAACACCGCCGTGATGCTACGCTGCTTGCAAGAATGTGGTGGTGGTGGTGGTGGTCAAGCACGCAGGAAACGGGACTGAGGCTGGTTCGAATCCGCCCCTCGGACGGCAGGCATATTTGAAACACACACACACACGCGTACGTTACGCACTTCGCCGCCAGAGCGCGCGCACACACACACACACACACATACGCTTCCGCAATTCGCCGGCAGAGCGCGCGCACGCGTCGCATCTCACGTCACCGGCCCACGCCGTCAGCTGATATGGCCTCATGGGCCGCTGAGGTACATGCGGGTCTGGGATCAAGAAGTCGATAAGTTCAGCTTATCTTATCAACTTCCTGATCCCAGACCCGCATATTCCCCCTACTGGACGTTATATGAAGTTTTCCGAAAACTCAATAGTTTTCAGCGAAAAGAGGTTTGGAATTTACAGTAGCCCTTAAATGCAATTTTCTTAAAAAAGCTTCAAATTGTTCAAAGAAAATTGCCATTTAGGACGAGATTTTAGTGTTCTTTAATATTCTTAAAAAATAATAAACTCTTCTCATATTAGGATGCTGAAAAATTAAGAAGATTTCCAAAAAATGTATTTTTTAGCGACGACAGATGGCAGCTGGCAAGTCCGAGTAGATAGCCGAGACCAAAGGAAATAGAAAACTAATATGGAAATGTCTGTACCATTCTCTAACACCACTTGTTTCTTCAAACTTATCGAATTGTTAGTGTTACTTACACTCTTTAATATGATTAAGTTCATTACGTTTTTTTCCTTTTCAAAAATTACACAAATGAAATCTTTTTGAAATATCTCTCATGCCAATAAAATGCACATTTCTAACTATTTGTAAAACTATTGTATTTGTGAGTTAAAGTGCTTCAAATGACTTTAAAAAAGTTTTTCGAAACCTCAAAACTTTTCTGTTGAAAAGAGCTTCAAATTTCGAATTTACAGTAGCGATTAAGTGCAATTTTTCTTTAAAACGGCCTCAATTTGTTAAAAAAAATGCCATTTAGGACGAGGGTTTACTCTTCTTTAAATATCTTCTTAAAATAATATTTCCGTTCTATTATAACGGAGCCGAAAAATTAAGAAATTTTAAGAAAATGGATTTGGGGTGGCGATAGAGGAGAGCTGGCAAGAGAATGTAGCAAGTTCGTGTAATTATCCAAGACGAAAAGAAATATTTAACTAATTCGGGAAAGTTTCTGCCATTCTGTTGCACCACTAGTTCTTAATTTTCCTACTAAATTAATCATTCTCTAAAAATGCAATATTTAAATCAATTTACAAACCAATTCATAAACTATAACTTAATCAAAAAAGAAAAATCTACTTCTCTCAGGCCATATACAATTCATTACCTAATTAACAATCAGTTACCTAAATTCTGTTTTAACCAAAATTTTTAGTTAATTGCTTGCACAGCCATACCATTAATTACATTAATGATAATTACATTATCTTATTAAGAAGATACAGGCTTTTAATAAGTTGACACTTATGATTTGTAGTTTTTAAATATTTTTCATTCTATTTTTTCAGTGTCAATAAATTTATGACAACAATAAATACATCCAATATTTATATGCTAATTTTATTCTATAAAATCTGACAACGGTTCGGAAACTGTTTCTTTCCCCCGTCAGCTCATGTTTATTTATTTAGTCAAAAAAAAGTAAAACATTTATGTGACGTATGTGGAAGATGATCTGCGCACGTTGTTTTAATTCCACAATCCTTTTCCATCATTTTAACTATAACATTTTAATTAAAATATTTATATCTACTATAAATATTTGATAAATATGTAATGTGTTTATGAAAACAAAATAAGTTTTAAATAAAAATAAATAATAATAAAATTTAAAAAAGTTCGAGAGAAACAACATTAAAAACACAAGATATTTTTGTTCCCGAAGTATAGAAAACGTATTTGCAACGGTAAAAAACTCCACATATGATTTTTCTGCATTGCTAACAAAATAGTAATTCACCTTCAGCTCTACCAAAAGAGTTCAACAAAACGTGGGCAAAGTGACGCTACATTTATGTTCAGAAGCAAAACAAGGAGTAATCTCAGTATTTGCTCAGTATATCAAGGAAACTGGACAAAAACCTGATCGAGATGGGGTACAACTCAAAATGCTTGTGTAAAGTTAGTTCATAATGAAGTCAAAAATGATATTTATAATATTGATTAAAGGAAGCAAAAACAAAAAAATACAATAATTAATAACTGAAAAAAATCACAATACAATATTAAAGCTCACCAGTTATTCTACACATGAACAGCAAATGAAATATTCCTGGTGGAGCAGAAAGGAGTAACGGAACTGAAGGGAAAGATGAAATTTTGAAATAATTGTTTCTAAAAGTAAAAAAGGGAGTATTATTGCCGAAAAATATTTAATATGTTGTCCTTAATTTTCGTAAATTGATTGGATTCAATAACTGTATTTTTATTTTGAAAGTTTCTAGTATTACCCTCTTATTTCTGTTGAGTTCTACCTCCAAAATACGATATAGGTCAAACTTTGTTGTATGATTTAGGTGGGATATTGAATTCTGCCAATTTGTTACTATTTTTATATTTTTCATAGATTATGCGCATATAGCTACAGTTAATACGGTGGAATGTAATGTTTGTGAATTGGATTAATCGGCCAAACAGAAAGCAGAATAAAAGAGGGAATAACAGAATGTGGAAAAAACTACGTTTTTCGTCTTATATCTCTTTGATTAACCCGTGGTAGGGCAATTCCATATCCAGCAGTGATCCATATGTGGAGTTTTGAGTCCATGGTTTCTTAAAAAACGGAATCATCTGTCAACTTTCTTCAGCGTTTTATATATACAGAGGGAACATCATGAGGAGTGTAGTAATGCGAATTTTATTTACTGTGGCTGAAGCCGCAGAGCGCTCACCTTGAAGACGCGGAAGTCGATGGTGAGCAGGTCCTTGCTCAGGCGGCGGTTGTGGTCCTGCAGGAGCTCCACCAGCACCGGAACGCCCGCCTTGGCACAGCGAGCGTCCTCCGTGCACCGGCCCGGCCGCTCCGCCCCCGCCTCCGCGGCCTCGACGTCGGCGTCGTCCTCAGCGCTGTCCACCTCGGGGGAGGCCGCCTCTGTGGATGCAGTGCTCGCGCTCAACAGCCCTATCAGGCACTCTGTTACGTACAGTTTTCGTGTATATTCTCATGCAGTTTCTCTACGTTTTCTATAGGAATATTCCGTATGACACGCTGCTAAGGGGAAACAACTGTGTTGCGCCGTCCGAGTACTTTCAGTTGCAATGTTTCTGTTCGTATTCTGACTGTAATATTTTTTAAGCATTAATTATTAAGAGGTAGTTCATCACTATCACTTCATACAATCGTACCTTCACACCTAACCACAAATATAATAGCCGATTACTGTCGCGTCGCAAATTTTACAGAACTTTCATTTCCCTTCATAATTAATAAAAGTGTAAAATTTTAAAAGAAACATTTAACCAAAGAACGTTTCTGTTATTTTAAGGCTATTTCTGTCAAGTCGACGTAAATAAATTGACATTACAAACAATTGTATTAGCACTGACCGAGGCAATAATTAATGCTTTTTCATTCACCAGACATGCTGCAAACCTATTGTTTATGTTTTGAAAATAAGGAAATAAATAATAGTTTACTTAAATGCAATGATTAAATGATTTTTTATCTTATGGATTACATTATATAATTTTTCTGTTATTTCTTGGCAATAGAAACAGTAGCTTCAATTTCTAGTCAAATTAAACGATTAATTTAAGGTACCAGAATAGTAAATTTCGATATTTCCCTACTTTTGTAGGTCACGACTTTAAAAGTTTGCACAATTATGTAAAATGAGGATTTTGTAAACAAAATGGGAGAAATTCGGTATAATACGTTAGTGCTTAACCATGTTTTTATAGCGCATACGACATTGATGGCCTACGGATTTGAAACTAACCTGTTCGTAGTGCAACGGCATCAAGCAAGATCTGCGGATTGCAGTAAAACGAGTCTGTGCCGAAAGGTCCTCCCGCTGTGTCCTCCGTCCAAAATTCTCTAATCACTTTCTCCTGCAAACAAAAATAGTATTTGCACTAAATTCTAGAAACGAACGTATTCTCATTAATCTAGAAGAACATTAACGCGGGCACACACACGAAACGTTGTCAGATACAAAGACTCGACACTCGTTTCTCTAGTACGTCGACGCGCTGAATCTGAAACCAGGTTTGCGCCACCACCCTCCAGTTTCTTTAATCGCCAAAAACCACAGTGAAGTTGTAAAATGTAAATTTAACTGTACTTCATATCAATATTCAATGCATAAATGACTTGGATCAAGGCGATCGTGGTTACGAGGGAAATATAAAAACAATTGAATTATGCTACATGATCTCTTATAAACAGAATTATGAAAGAGAATTATAAGAGGGAAATGTGAAAAGACAATCCGAATCAAGTTAGCACCTAGTTGATTAGAAAATAAGTAAATCTGAATCAATAAAATTAGGTACAAAATAAAATTGTCTATGTATCACAGGCGATACCTGGTTCTAATGACCGATCAACGACAAAATGCCCGAGGACCTTTAGCTGGAGGGCTTTTTGGCGTCGCTTGTTCATTTGAACACTTACAACGATCTTAGCGCTTATGTAACTATTGTTCTATATTTGGACCACGATTTCCAGTGAACACTTAATATGTATAATAAAGTCGGGTTGGTTACAGGATTTATAATTCAAGAGGGGGAGGACAGAGAGGGAGGGGGAGATGGGAGAGGGTGGGGGAAACGAAGATAGAGAGAAAGGGAGATGAAGAGGCAGAACAATGTCTGCCGGGTTCCACTAGTTACGTATATATTAACAAAACTACAATTGGAATGAAATTATAACTTCAGTTATGGAATTAATACATTTATGCAATTGATTTTATTTTAAATCATTTACATGGTTACTAGATAGTAGAATGGTTTCTTACCATAATGTCATACAACAATTTACCAAATTGTCAGGATAAAGAGGGATAAAATAAGGAAATAAACTTACTTAAGGAAGTAACATTTTTTAATATGCAAGTCTTTTAAAATTTTAAAGGAAGCCATGGACCCCATGGCCTTTCAGAGAGGACGCTTCTGTGTGGCGGCAATATAAAATAATAACAATATCAAGGATTTACATAAATTGTTTTTGATTAGTTCTTTATCACAACTGAGTTCTGGAGTTCATTTCTCATGAGTTAACAATTAAAAGCATTTTAAAACAATCAGAGTAACATTATTCTTTTAGTATTGGTGATTCTTATAAAAATCACCTCTTTTGTGCCACAATTTCCTTTTACAAGAGATAAGGATCTGACAGGTCCCTGGTCATGACAAAGCAATATGATTATAATCATCATTGGCGTGATTCTTCCTATGGCCTGGTTCTGAGCACATGCTTAATAGACTGTGGCTTTTCAAATTGACATTTGGATTTTGATTGTAATTCAGAAATTTATTTGTAAGGTATTGTAATGGGACGGTCGCACGCGTCAGTTTGCGACGTGTATTTTAAAATTGTATTCAATATAACGTTGCTGTAAATAGGCCTGGAAAAGTGCGTATTTTGCTACCTGCGAGGGTGTAAGAAGCGTCGGGGACGCGGAGGCATGCACCTCTATTGTCCTGACAGGGGCGAGCCCCGGCCACATCCGATGACTCACAGGGAAATACGGACGCCGCCGCCTCATAACTCGGCAATCCAGCAGCACCTATTCTGGAAACTTGGGTGTCATTTGAATTTCAACAGAATTTGGCAATACTCAAACGGCCATCAATGACGCCGCGATTGGGCGGAAGAAACCGCGTGACGCGCGCTCGCCAATCAAAACGCAGCGGGGGAGGGCTACGTGACCCGCGAACCTGAGGAGGTAGCTGCAGGGCACAAGCTCGGTCATGGCGACAGCGAGCAGAAGTGCCTTTTCCGAGGTAGGGACAAGGGTGAGTTTCTTTGGCTTACGGTTGGACGCCAGAATTTTCGACTCCCGAAAATGACAATTTGGCCTTTTACAAACCGCTTCTTTTATGGAAAAACTCTTCATTGAATATTAATATGAAATATTCTTTGTTGAATATCTGAAACGTCTCTTACATAGGACGTCAGTTAGGAAAGATCATTATTTAGTCGTTTCAATTACCTCTGTAGCAGGCAGATACTTGTCTTCGTGAATTGATGGTTGCCTGCTGCCAATGCACACTTCTTGAAACATTTTTAGAAAATCTGAAAACTTCATCCAGAATTCACCATCTACGTGCACTTTGTAATCGAGTTCTTCCAAAACATCTGCACCCAGCTCTTTCCAAATGTCGTGGCTGAAAAATTCAAATATCAGACAAGTGTATAGATCTACATACAAAATGTAACATTGCAACAAAACATACCAAAATAAATATATTAATTTAAATTTATTAACAGAGCATTCGAAAGATTCATTAAAAATGTTTTAAATATTTACTTTTGAGCTCTAGCAGCTGCAAATGCTTACATATCAGATTTAGTGTGTAATCCAGGAAAATAGAAATGTATACTTCTTTCTGCCAACATATTTAATTGAGGTTAAACAACCGTTGTATGTCGATTGTTTACGACGTACAATGTGTGTTCGGATAGTAAGTTGAATTATTTTTTTCCTTCCAACCCGGAAGACTGCAGTTATTCAACTGGTGTGTGAAAAGTGGATGATGGTCTTGGGAAAGTAACGCGTCCCTCACCTTGCCTGCAGGGCGTTGCCCAGTGGGGATTGCTCGTAGAGTATACGAGCGTGGTACATGTGTTCTATTATCCGTTCACCCTCAGAAAAATCCTAATTTAAAAAAATGCACGTGTGTTAGGATGATTCTCAGTGATTTACAGTGTAGTGCAGTTGTAGGGATCCTGACGCGAATTTAAGTAGTTCTCTGTATAAGAACTAATTTATCAATCATCGTTCGTTAAATTTACCTTGAGTCAAAACTATTGCAACGGTTTTGAGAAAGGAGATCATTGTGAACTGACTGGGTGTTTCTTTGTGATAAGATGACGAGTCTCTGACAGTTTTGCCCACGACCGTGCTGAACGATAACCACGACCATGGGACGCGTCTTCTTGAACCTGCGAGTCTGCTATTCACTTCGTTTTAGAATGTTTGAAAGTGTGGAACATTTCTTCGGAGTAGCGAAAAGTACATCTTTCTGGACGTTTTCCAATCGTTGGATTGTAGGAGGAGTCGTTACCGGTGAAGCAAATCGTAGAGTTTACTGGAATATTCGTATCCATTGTATTGAAACTCCGGAAAGAGCTCTCCGTCAAGGAACAACTACAATCGCCAGAGAAGAAAAGAGAGAGGAAGCAACCTGTAATTGAAGTGTACGATGACTTTGTAGTGAGTGTTGTTCCATCGAAAGTGCATTGCATCAGAAGGGGAAACGGCAAAAACGAAACCCCAACGCATGCGTAATGAAGCTTGTCAATTGCGATCAAGAACTTCCAAATTTAAGGCCAACCAATGTATACCAATAATTGACATCCGGTTATTGACAACCGCTTCCTGAAGCAGGCTGATCGTAAGTAAAGTGTAGTTGCATGAACATGACAATTGCATGACAGCTCTTATTCCATTTGAATTGGCGGGGTATGCTACTTGCGTCTTCAGAAGTAGGAGGGGTTCAATTAGAAGCATAGTGCGGCGCAAAGATTTCTTCAGTTTGTTAACATTAGGTTTGTCTTAGGATGGACGGATAATAGTGACGCGTCAAAAGATCAAATTGCCACGATCACTGTACAGCAACATGGCATTTAATTTTGTGTTAAGTTTGGACAATCAGACTCCTAGACCGTCACAATGATTAATCAAGTTTATGGGTATAGTATGGTGTCCCAAAACATGATTTACCGGTTCTCAGGAGGTTCCGAGAAGAGAGAGAGGACGTTGTCAGTGAATAGCAGTCGGACGCCCTTCACGTCTCGTGGAAGACATACTCACAGCCTTTTTATTCCAAATGCATTGTCCTCTCAATTTCAAGTTAATTTCGCTTCAAAGTACTCGAAAGGCTCCGAAACAGGCAACTTCGGGTCAGGAAGTAGATTGGTGGAAATTGGCGACTCCATCACAATAACTCGTCTCATACCGCCTTCGTTGTTAGCTAGTTCCTGGTCCGGCACTGTGGTGCACCGTTGCCCCAGCTGCCATGCAGTCCCGATCTCGCGCTAGCTAACTTCTTTTTATTTCATTGAATAAAAATAAGCTTAATGGATTATCGTAATGTGGCGGTAGATACCCTTAAAGCCACCGCTCCGAGATGTCTCAAGGAGATTCCCATCAAGGAGTTCCATGAATCCTACCAGGCAGAATTGCTGGAAAAGTGTTTTGACGCCCAAGGATGCTATGTTGAAGAATACGAAAAATTTGTACTTTTATCGTGCGCATAGTTGAGGACTAGACGGCCCCTCTGAAAATATCCAAAGGCGGTACCGTAGCCTTACATAATGAAGCATTATATTTCTGTAAATGTGTTCAGTCCCTTACTGTTTTAACCTCACAATATTTGGGCAATTGTTACACATGTGTGGAAGGGGCTTAGCCATTCGGAAACCCTTCTAATCAATATAATATCAATTCTATTGATTCATTTTGCATGCGTGAACGGCTAAGGTTATTAGAACCGTAAATGCAGTGCATGTCTTCTATCGCGGTAGGTGGCGGTGATGTTCCCCACTGAATGACGAGATCCGACGTACGTTGGCGAGCGAGGATTTTCCACAACTAGGTATCTTCCACCAGCTTAGCATTAGCTCCCCTCCGCGACAAGCTCTTAGCTTCCGACTAGACTTCCGACAGGTGTAGTAGTGTAGTGCATGTAAGTGCAAGTGTGTGTGTAAGCAAGAGGTGAGGAAAGGACAAGAAAGAGGAAGGAAAGATCGCGCGCGGTCTGTGGCCTGTCTGTTAGGGTACTTCTTCGCCTGATGTTGATCGAAGAAACCTTTGAACTACCCATCAGAGCAGCCGGCCGCTAGAACTCTCCTCCAAACAGTAACTGAACTCGAGCATATGCACCATTGAGACTGGAACCTTGGACCTCCTGATCAGAGACACGGCAGTGACATCGCCTGACGCCTTGAGCCACTCAAGTCGGATTCAATAGTTTAATATAAAATCAATTCTATTGATTAAGCGTACCATTAAAGTTACAATATCATTGTTTGCATGTTTCATTTAATAACGGGTAAAGTATGCCATTTCTAAGTAAAATGTTTAATTAGAAAGAGGCCCAGAAGTGGAGTTGTTTTAAGCTGCGGAGGCGGAAGCGCAGGCACTCACTCGTCGCGCCACTTGCCCGTCCACTCGTCGTCGCCCCACGGGTTGCGCACGCGCACGAGGCGCTGGCGCACGCGGCGCACGTGGTGCGCGCCCGTCACCGTGTACCCGTGGAAGCCCGGCAGGCCGCGCTGGAACTCCCCCTGCACCAAGGACCACGCGAAATGAAATACACATGTGAATGATGAGCTAGTAAAGGAACTGAACAGGTGAATGAATGATGAGCAAATGAATGGATGATGAGCAAATGGATGAATGAATGAATGATGAGCAAATGAATGATGAGCAAATAAATGATGAGCAAATGAATGAATGAATGAATGATGAACAAGTGAATGAATGATGAGGCAGTGAAGGAATGATGACCAAGTGAATGAATAGGGCAATCAAGGCTTATCCTTTCTCATTCTTCCATCACTATGGAAAAAGGGAAAATAAATGAGGGAATGAGCTAGTTAAAGAACTGATGCGAAAGAAGTGAAAGATGAACAAGTGAACGAATAATTAGTAACTGAATGAATAAGGAAATCAAGGCTCTTGTCCCTTCTTATTCTTTCTTCACGAAGGGCAAAGGGAAAAGAAGTAAATTAGTGAATGATGAGTTACAATGAGAGAACAAGTGAATGAAAGATGACTTAAGTGAACGGATAAAGAGTAACAGAAGAATGAAGGCTCTTTTCCCCTCTCCTCAAGAGCGAGAAGAAATTGGTTTACTTCCGCAAGAACTTGGGAACGAGATCTTCATCACTATGTATGAAGTGTGCTATATATCGGTATATATCACGATGCATGTCATACACCGTGCATTCATGTAGCGGCGTAGCGAGTATATGTGGCCACATCGAACTCCCTCCCCCGCACACCGCACCCAGTCTATCAAGAAGCAAGTGAACGAAGGACAAGCAAATGAGTCAATGAGCTTTAGAAGGGAAATGAAAGAAGTGGATGAACAATGAGTAAGTGAAGGAACTGAACAAGTGAATGAATAAGAGAATGAAGGCTCTTTTCCCTTTTCGTTAAGAGCGATAAGAAATCGGCTCACTGCCGCGGGAACATGGTGAACGACAACACGGACCTTCATCACGATGTAAAAGTGGTATATACCGATGTATATCTTAAACTATACCTTCATTCAGCGGCCTAGCGAGAAACGTGACACCGAATTTATAACCTTAAACTATGACGCTTCTACCTGGACGCCTCGCTACGCCTGTCCGATTTGGTGACAAGACTTCGGTTTTCGGTCTGCGCGATTTGCATTTTAAATATTCTTGAGCCTGACTAACGCATACTTTCCAGCGCATTTTGTGCCAAAATCCTTTTTATTCCAACAAGATAGTGAAGAAAAGAAGAAAAACACCAATTGAATTGGGTATAGTGTGTAGCAAATAATGTGTTACATTTCAGGAGATGTATAATGGGCAGTTGTTTCTAGAATTGCTTGGAAAGTATATATTTCATGTAACGATTTAAACAAAATGCCCTCGCTCTAGTCACTAATTCTTCGCTTGCGATCACCGAGCTTGCGTCGTGAAATCAGCTGAAAACGAAACGGAGTAAGACCCGGAATGAATGATAAGCATGGGAATGAATGAATTTAGTAAGGGTATGAATGATTAACAAGGAAATTAATGAAGAATTAATGAACGAAACTGGATGACTGAATGAATGAATGAATGATAATTGAAGGCTTCCGTGGCCGGAAACATAGTCATGGAGTAACCTCATCGTACGCAGTGTTCCGTGGTATTTATCTCTAAAAGCAATATAATGACCGAAACGATGTCAGCACTGCATAGGTTGCAAGATCTCACAGGTAGCCAAGACTTCCCATATACCGGCCGCGGAAGCCTCATTTAATTAATTCATGCATCACATTACAAGAAATAGTTTACATTCTCAATGAGAAATGCCTCAACTTGATTTTCACATTTACACTTTTTTAGACAGCTCCTTGTAAAAGTTCTGTCAGAGCATGCATTGGGTAGTAAAACTTCAATTTTTAGCACTAGGGCTAAATGTAAGACGATGTTCAAGTGTTCAGATAAATCTGCGAATGCAACAAAGAAACCAAAACACTTTCATCTGACCTCATAAACTACTTTTAACTTTAATGTAACATTAAGTGATTTTTATAGTTGGATTAAAATGAAAGTCATTATGTCTAAAAAATAGAGTGTGACACACGTGGTAAAAGTGATTTTATTTTGCTCATAGGATTTTGCCAGTCGGCCTATCGGCCTCTTGTCGCATTCTTTCCTATTCACAATATAAAATGATACTTATTCCATTCATATTATAAATAATTATTATATGCAATTAATAATGTATGTGTTTTGAGATCATTGTTCAGATTTTTTAACTGAAGAACATTCCGAGCAACCATGTGCGTCTTTGCCTTACCGCTCGCGCGCAGGCAATGAGGGATCGATTGTCGATTTCTTTCCTCAGATGTTTGAAGAACTCGTTCTTGCGCTTAGAGCCATCCTTGAACTCTTCCTCGGAGAATTCGATACTCCTCACAGAATAACCAGTGAGATTGATAAATCCTTCCGTGAGTTGCCCACTATTGAGGTTTTCGTAGCCGCCGTGGAATCTGTGGACAGTCATTTCTAAACAGGCGTCGCTTTTAAAAATCACACTAAATCAAATAAATTCTATTTATATTTGTGGCTTCATTTTGTTTACTTTGTTACATTGCTTGAAGAAACAACTTTAATTATGAATTCTTTTACAATTTTATGAAATCAATATGAAGTGATTCATTGAGTTGTTATGTTAAATATGTTTCAAAACCATATTTCCTTTGGTAAGTTAAACAGTAGCCATAAATATTATTTTACCGTTATTTCCCAAAAACGTCAATTATTTGCATTAACCACAGAAGTAGTATATAAACCAGGTTTTTAGACCAGATGTTTTATACCCACCATTTTTAGATTTTAAATTTTTCCATTTTTTCATTAAAATTGCATTAAAATAGTTATTTTTATTAATATTTTCATATTTTTATCCAAACATTTTCTAATTTTTTGAAATTTTAAGCGTTGAGGATTACTTTAGAACCCCAGAACACATTTTAAAACACTTCATTTTTACCATTTCGTACATCATTTTAATAATATGTAACAAAATATAATTTTAACATATATACTGATTCAACGTAACCCACGTTTTCTCTATGTGGCCTTCGTTACAACTCTACACAACATATTAGTATATTTTACCATTTCATACATCATTTCACGTAAGAAACATTAATCACGTAAGAAAATTAATTTAATAGTATGCTCTGACATAAATCCTTTATAGACTATTGTCAAATTCTGAGTTTTTAATTTTTTTATCGTTTTCTTTTAAACAAGTAGCATATTGATTCGGTAAAATTACACTAAACATTTGATCTTTTTTTTCTGTTTATTTTTTGTCGCATCAACGACTAAGGTTTTAGCGACAACATTTTTAATTACAGGTGTTTACAGACACTTATGACTTCATCAGTTATTACATAAACAAAAGTATCAGAATGTATTGGTCATAACATAATACAGTATCACATATTACTTATCTTACATACCATCATCATACAGAACAATCAGGGCATGGTCATAACATCTTTTCGAGGGTTACACAACATTACATTAACATAATATAACATAATAACGTAACATAATATAACATAATAACATATAAGTTATAACATACTGTATACTAAACATTTGATCTTGTTTATCGGTTTATCCAATTTTGTTTATCCAATTTTCTTACATGATTAAATGCGAGAAAATGATATATGAAATGGTAAAATTTACTAATATGTGGTTTAGAGTTCTAAATTGAGATAACGTGGTCTAACGTTGAATATATATTAAAATGATATTTTGTTATATATTGTTAAAATGATGTATGAAATGTTAAAAATGATGTGTCAAATGGTAAAAATGAAGTGTTTTGAAATATGTCTCGGGTTCTAAAATAGACTTCAACGCGTAAAATTGCAAAACAAATTAGAAAAAATTGGGATATAAACATGAAAATATTAATAAATTGAAGTATTTTAATACAATTTTAATGAAAAATGTAAAAATCTAAAAATTGTGGATCTCAAATATGTAGTTTAGGAGCCTTGGTTTATATACTACTCACAGAGTATTAATTAAAATTATATAGAGCTGAAGCTAATTGTAATTCTTTGCCGCTATTGATCGTAGAAAGTGGGTAGAGTTTATGATGTCATCAATAGAGACCTCAGACGTTATTTGCTATGTTTAAATTGTGCATGGATGTTTTTATTCCGCTCTTTCTCTTCTTGATTCCTCGCCATGGCAGATTGCATTCAAGATGTCTAAAAGCGTTTACGAAATTTGTTTATAATGTTAAAGTCTATTGCATGAGTATATACTTTGAAAACTAGCATCTTTAGGAGCGCGTTTTCAGATTTATTTGAATGAAATAAAGCAACATTATAAACGAGTTGCATACGCTACGTTTTTGTATAACAGCTATTATAGCTATATACGGCTATTATTTTGTAAATATATGAGAGAATCAAATTTAATTTAGCGAAAACACTTTGTTGTGACGTCTCAGGTATTTGACATCTGTGCGAGTAAACGGTGGGAAGGCTGCTCCGTTTATCGCTACCACCCCACGAATCCCTCACTGCGATTGGCTGAACATGTGATGACGCAATCATTCATGCCTTAAATGCTAATACGTCATTATTTGTGCAATAAAATGCGATTTTATGAACAATTTTGTGCAACAGAGAAGGCCGTTTACAATGCTGGTAAACAAAAACCGACTATAATGCACCAAGAAACGATTATGATGCGCCCACGTCTGAGGATTCTATTAACGAGTTTTTGGCTAGCAATAATTCAACTTTTTTTTGTTTACAGGCGGTTACGACATTTTTATTCAGATTTTAGGGTTATGTATATAATTATACTTTGTTAAATAAGCGTTCACCGCGCTTCAGAGGAAGAGATGATACACTCACTAAAGTCACTTGATCGTACTTTGCAAACGCTTTCTCGACCAGAGACATCCAGAACTCGTTCTTGCAGCTGGAGCGGCCGTAGAGCGGCTCGTCGTGTTGGACCGGGAGGCGGTCGTCGATTTCCACGTCGCGCCAGTGGTTCATGTGCCACAGTCGAATGACGATGCAGCCAGAGTAGCCGGGCCCGTGCAGAATCTGACCGTCTGGTACTACCTACGAGAAATAAAAGAAACATCAGTAATTGAATCGATCGCATGTAACATGCATACGATTTTAGTGATGCGTCACCAATAACAAAACATCGCTGTTCACAACAATGTTATTTATAATACATTCACCAAAAATCGATGTTTTCAAGGTGGTTGAATAACCTGTAACATAACATTCGGGGACAACAAAATTCAATTTCCTGTGTTTATTGAGATTTAACGAATTTAACAGAAAACAAAAGTTAAAATTTAATGAGAACAATGGAAGCATGATCAATATAGTACAGAGAGAGTTCGTTTGGTTCCAACACATAAAGTGTTAGTATCTATCAGTTAAAATGTGAAATGATAACTGATGATACAACTGTTGTATCATCAGTTATCATTTCACATTTTAACTCTTACACAATTGTTATTATGGGAATCTTTCATTCACGATCTAAACATCGAAATAACAAAACATACATTACAAAACATCGAAGATAAAAATCTCCGACTTTAAAATATCGATGTTTAAATGTCGGTGTTTCTATAAAATCTTAGATATTTTAAAAATATCAACATCGATGTCGCACCCCTTATAGATATACATAATAAGTACATCGAGTGCAACGAAGTAATACCGGACAATTACACTTAAAATGTGAGTTGATCATTATTTATTTTATACATGAAATTGCAAGTTTTGGCTTAACACGTTTAACTGTCAAGAGTATCAGTCTTATATGAAGGACTCCATTTGTAGCGAGGTGGGTGTGTCAAAAATCATACACAACATTCAGACCATTTGTATTTTCAGATAAAGAGCTGCTTTGAAAACAAATCGAGAATGGTATTATTGTTCTGACATTGTGAAAAAGCCGATCAGTGATGGTTTGTGAATTTCAAGTGAATATAATTTTTATACATACGGGCTGGAAAGTATAAATTTGGAAAATGTTGGGACAAAGTGAAAAGTGAAATTATAGACTAGAGGCATTGCAAAGTGTTCAGAGTACAGTACACAGAGAGCACAGCTTAATGCAAAATGATTGCATATCTGTAACTTGCAGTTATATTGCCAGCAGTGGTCAAGCAGTCAAAGCTGTCCCTTCTTATACGAGTAGTAGCCTCTATAGGCGCGGCTTGATTGATTGTTTAGTGATTCCGGGCACGACAACTACCAGGGTCATTAGTCCCGTAAGTGTAATGCGCATTTTTTGCTCGGGAGGTGGTGGTGGCCTTTCCCCTTCTGTATGGCGGGAGCCGGCGCCGACCTACCGTCGGCTAGCGGGGTTTTCCCCAACCAGTTATCTGCCACCAGCGGCGCACCTCAGCCGGAACAAGCTCTCAATACAGTGCGTTGGTGTAACTATGTGAGGATAAAGCAAGGAAGAGGAAGGTGAGATCGCGCGCGATGCGTGGCCCGTTTGTTAGGGTACTGCACCAGCAATCACCTAGTGTTTATCAGAGAAACCACGGAAAACTGTCGATCAGAGCATCTGGTCGCTAGAAATCTCCTGCAGACAGCGACGGAGTCGAAAACCTGTCACCGTGACTCGAACCTAGGATCTCCCGGTCAGAGGGCCTGAAGTGACGTCAGTTGATACCTTGAGCCATCTCTCCCAGCAGAGTGGGAGAGGAAGGGATGAGAGGATACGGGACGACTCACCCTGCGCACGAGCTCCGGGCGTTCTGCCATGGCGGCGCAGACGGCCATGGACCAGCAGTTGCCCAGCGCCCCCTGCACCACGTCGTAACGACACGCGCCGTCCACGAAGAGCTGCGGCTCGTCGCACAGCTCCTGCGCAACACCACACACACATCATCCCACTCGCACTCCTCGCCTTCACTTCGGCTGCGGGCGCCAAACAGGAAGTCCTGCTGCGCATAGGATCACAGGTACACAAGTACTCACTTCAAGAGAACACAAAAGGCACATGGAGCATTTCCCCCGAATCACCATTTCATGAACGTAACAATTCATTCGGAGCATATCCTAGAAGTTAAGTACTCAGTCTCAGAAACGACATCAGACAGTTCGAATGAGTAATATCAACTTTAGGGAAAATCCTCTGGACGGTTCAAGAGCTACTGGGATTCACAGAAAGACCAACAGACAAACAAAGGGGAAGACGGATGAACGGACAGATGGATGGGGGGGGGTATCAAGCTGGCACACCCGACGAATGGACCAAAAAATGTATATCCGTCAAAACATGGGCATCTATATTTTGTAGCTTTATACTTTAACTTTCTTTATACTACGCATGCGAAAAAGTAAAATGCAAAAAATAAGTAGTAGTAGTAATAATAATAGTAATAATAATAATAATAATAATAATAATAATAATAATATAATATATAATAAGAATAAGAAATAACTAAGCAATGAAGTGTGTAAACCGATTGCGATGGGCTTTAAAAAACTCAACTCTATGCTAGAAACCCTTGTGCCAGGCCATCAATTCATTTGTTATTCAGTGCTAGACATACTCCTTGGCGTTATTAAATGGAGCAATACCGACCTCCGACAACCCTCCAGAGAACAATTCGAACCGCTATGACTCAACACCGAAAACATCATCGCCCATTCCAGTACTGAGCGTTTTTAACCCTTCAAGGTCGCAAGGAGGGCGAGGTATTGTAGATCTCATAAATCTAACATCAGCTCTCAAATTGGCCTACATCAGAAGATACTTCTTTGGAACATTGTGGGCAGAGTTCAGCAAGCAGTGAGTGCGTTGATAACTATAGCCTCTGAACTGAAAAAAGCTTGATCCGCCTGTTCAAACCAATCATTGAAACGGAAGCAGAAGATAACCTTATGAAAGCCAACAGGCCTTGTCATGGAAGGTACCATCACGAGCTGAGTAAACAGAAGTCGCACATCTCTGCGTCGCACGATGGCTCCAAGCACGGGATTCTCTTTCGGAGACAGAAGGCCTTCATGATAAGCTTATCCAGGACCAAGTGGTACCAACATTGAACTACAGAACAAATTCTGGAGAAGATTCGACATTCCATGTCCGAACTCGTTAGAAGATGTGAGGCCTAGCAAGCGAAAGCTATCCAACACGTAACAAGTGGATGGCTAGCAGCCACGCACAGGTGGATACAAAAGAGGCCATGATGAAGTGCGAAGCAGGTTTACACCAAATTATTGGCCCCGCGTTTGAGAACCGCGGCTTACCTCGCCCACTTCCGTGCCCGTATTATAAAAATATGTGCCTCAGAAGTGCTTGAAGTAGTTGCAGCACACACTCTACTGGGATCGTTCCATTATCACTGCAGACTGTCGGCGGCCAATAGACCAGTAAAGTACACTGATAGAAACCATACAGCAGGTTTTCCTTATCGAATATCAATACCCAATACCCACAACATATCGGGAAAAATTCAAGAGAAGATCAGAAGTAATACAATCTCGCCTACGAAGTCGCGCAAAACTGCAGTGGAACTTCAGTTAAAGTGAAGACTGTGCCTATAATAATTCAGCTACGGGAGTGGATCCCGAAAATGACTCTTCGGGCATGGAGTGTCTTCACTTGGATACAGGAATGTATATAATATGCAAAGACAGTATTTTGAATACATGCGTTATTGTCAGAAGCCATCTGAACCTTCAGTAAAGCCAACACAATCACCTGGTCATCATACCTGTGTGTGGTTTGACATACCGACCAGTAGATCCTGTGAATAATGTAAGACAATAATAATAATAATAATAATAATAATAATAATAACAATAATAATAATAAGCACTGGCGCAAAATCGATTTGAGTTTTTTTACCAAAGTAATAATGGTTAAGTAGCCGTTTTATTGGATTATAAATATTGCAACAGAAAAAATCAATGTCAGAAATTATTCTTCATATAAGAGATAATGCTTACTATTCTTATGAACCTGTATTTGGTATACTGTCTTCAAATGTGTATATTATCTGAAGGTCCTACATAGCGATGCTTCATATTTCCTCGTAACGACACGTCGTGTGACGTCTGAGTGTCACGTCGTATTGTTTTCTGAGCAAGACGTGTACAGGAGCATACTCCCACTTTTTTAATCGCAAGCGAATGCCAATACTTCAAAATCTGGCAAAATTCGGAAAGTTTAAACAACCATTATTTTTAGATTTCATGACTTCCCAGGTTCCCTTCAGAAACGCAGATTTTCCCCTCATGTCTTGAAAAATTGTGATTCCTAAAAATAGATAAAAGAGTATAGAAAACGATAAAAACCGAATAAAAATATAATCGACGTGTTTGTAACACATACGATGTATTGGATCGATACTGTATTAGTAGGCATTACGTTTATCAGCAAAATATACTGCTGAACTTCCGCCTCAGAAGTTTTTAACTTTCGCGATGATGTTACACTCTCGTCGTTTCGGTGATCTCAGAAATTCCACAAAGCTTCCATGTTTCCGAGTCTCGCCCGAGAACTTTTTTAAACATTTTATTTAATTGTTTGTTGAAGTACAATGTTCAGTTTACAATAAAAACTTTGCAATTGTTTGATGGCTTAATCTAATTAACGTAATCTACGTTAAAATTGTACTTAATTAATCTTAATATAGGGAGAGGAAACAAAAGCACCTCAGGAGAATTATTCATCACTTGCAAATATGTGGAGGAAAGAATGGAGCGGGAATCTGTTCTTAATTCTGGTTTTGTATCTGGGATTTTTTCCGAGTCTGTAGTGAGTTGATACATTTATGAAGGACAAGTTTGTGTAAAAGTTGTTTGATAGGAATGCTTGGTGTGTTATTTCATTGATATTTAGATCGTTATGAAGTTGTTTATTACTAATGAACCACGGTGCTCTTGTTATTGATCTTAAATATTTGTTTTGAAACACTTGCGATTTGTTGACATTGGTTTTGGTGGCATTGGTCCAGATCATCGCCCGAGAACGTCTCCGTCTTGTAGTCTGTGCCGACGCGGGTGATCGCCGGAAGGCTGAGTGCACTGCATATCCAAGGCCGCGTGACGGGGAGGAGAGGAATCCAGCTTTGTAGCGCAGCGATTACCTTCCGCTAAGCGCCGAAGCAGCAAGCGGCGCGACGACGGCGCGGGGCGACGCAGAGGACGTCCGCCGTCCAACCAATCTCGCGCGCGCTCGCAGTAATGTGGGGATGAAGGTGAAGCATTCCCGGAGGCTTTGGAGTGTTTGGTGCACAAACATCTCACGTATGTGGATAAATGGAGCAGGTGTGGAATGCGCTGTACGGATGGCGGTGGTACAAAAAGTTGAAACGCGTAATTACTGCTAGAAAAAAAGTGTTTGTGATAGATATCTAAATAATTAAAATGTCTTTTAGGTGTCTTTAAAACGAGTAAAAAAGAATACAATAAATTGATGTGGGAATATATAATATTTTAACTTTTTTACTTCCGCCAAGTTGATTTAAGTAACTTTACACAACCTACGATACGGCCACAGCGCATGAAATGTTTCGTTTGCTTCTTCGATCATCAAAATTCTTTGATTGGTTCAAATGTTACGAGGATGTGAAGGTTCTGACAATGTTCACAGTGAGAATACCCCCCTCCTTTTGCGCTGTCGTGAGACAAACCACTACCTAGTAAGAGAGTGCGTAATGTGCGCCAGGAAAGTTTCTCCGCAGTGGCACCGTGCTGATCAGAGAGGTATAAAAAATATTATGTTTGCATCACGAGCACCAGGCCGTGCTGGGCCCATCTTAGCGATACTAGCGCCGCGTTCGGAGGCGAAGCTGTGGGCGGAAGCGGCGTCGCTGGCAGCTCCTGACTCGGCTCGGTGTGGAGTGACTTTCTTGGGGCGCTGTACTAATGCTCCTAACAAACAAAAAGACTTCTTATTTTTTCTCTTCCTCCCTATACTACAGTTTAGAGAGGGAAAGTATTTGAATCATCTCAAATAGGCGATCTCGAAATTTCGGTCGTAAAATCTGTGTTTAAGATTCTTTTATACTGTAACTGCATACGCGTCAAGATTACGGTCTAGAAGCCATATCTCAGATATGCTTGAGATAGGTGTTGGTGGAGGGGAGTTCCACGCATTTTTTTACCCAATATCGGGATGTTTGTATGGATGGATGGTGGTTGGGTATATGTGTTACGTTTAACTCCGTCAGATTAGAAACGTTTCAGCCAAAATTTCGTAAATACTCAGGAGTAAAATCTAGTTGTGCCCTATCGAAGATCATAAAGATATTTTAATTTTGAGGGGTAATGCATACGAAGCCCTCAATAAAGTTTTGAAAATTTTCGAGAAAATAGCTGAACATGATTTGCTGTTTTTTTTCTGGAATAGAAGAAATTTCAATTTTAGTTTCGAGTAGTTCCGATTTTCATTCAAACATCTAGCATTTAAAAAATTGCGAATTATTTCATATTTAAAACACTAAGAGTTTTTGTTTAGAAAGAACATCGAATCAAATTTTGTAATTTTGCCTCAAATGAAAAGTAGTAGGCCTTTCAGCGTCGGATATGTTTTATCGCTATCTTCTATTCACGTATTTTGTAGTACAAATACAATTTTTTTAAAATTAACTTAATAGAACGATCTTTTTCCACAGTAATTTATTCAATATTTCATTGTATGAGTTTAAGTCAATCTACCGATTGCATTCAATTTTAGCCATCCTGAAAACATCTGGGTGTGAGTTTATTGTTATCGAATATAGCATGTTTTCTAAAGTTAGAAGAGTTTTAAATGCAAAGATTAGTGAGTGTCATATTTTAAATGTATATAAATATAATGTCCAGCAATCATCTGTCCCATGTCCGTCAAAAAAATCCAGTAATTATAATTA